GAATCACTTCAACTGCAGGACATACTGTAGCTAATTTTGTTTTATTTCAATTTTTAAAAACGCTTAAAATCTTACTGCACGTCAGAACTGACAATTCTGGGCACCTCGTGTCCCCCTGAATCAGTTGCGTGGACTCGATATGAATGCGATATACAGTTTTAACAGATCATACAGCTATTATATCCACTAGGATTGATCTAATACACCGGATTCATTTTGTTTTTATTCGCGAGGAAGTAAAAATAAAATTGTACCGGATAATTGAAGTAATTATGGCCGAATTAAATGTTAATGAAAACACGAACTGGACTAAATTAAATATAACCATTTTGAGAATATTTTCTCGTAATAAGAGAAAAAAACGACGACTCTCGAGAGAAGAGTATTAGTGTTGGTTATTTATTGATTTCAAATAATTCCGAGAACTCCACTAACGATTCCCATCAAAGAACCGTGTAGTTCGATAACCTAAAAAACGATGCATGATATATTGGAATTCTTCGAACGTTTTCAATACATGTCGATAATTCTGTGAAAACTAGGTTACCTGGAATGCTTTTTTATCGTCATCCGCATTAAAATAATTTCTAGTAGTGAATGTAACATGTTTTCACCACATATTGATTAATCATTGTAATAAATAATTTTGTTCCCTAAACATTTTGCGTTTATCCTTTCTGTTGAAGACAGTCTCAGTAAATAAAGACAAATGTTTTAGAACGTAAAACTATATTACTGACCCAATAAAATTTTCAAGTACAATTTATAGTATTTTGTAAATATTATATCAATATACGGTGAAAACCGGTACGTAAACTTGTACAGCTCAATACAGTTCTCTTGCGAATTGAAACTGTTCCGTTATCCTCTTACGGCAGGTACATGCAGGATAATCATTAGAAATTCGTTCCTTGTATCGTCCTGCAAAGTGCTGACCTTCCTAACCTCCCTCACCCCATTTTGCCTGGCGGGTCCCTTTTTTATTTTTGTGTTAGTACCGGTAGTAACACATTCGCGATCTTTCCTTTTAAATAATAATAATTATTATTATTATAATAACAAGAATTAATAATAACAATAATAATCGCATCCTATATTATTTCACTAGTATACTTACCTTTTGCGGCTCTCACACTCAACAAATCGTTACAAATGAGGTTTCTAAAGAAAGAGAATTTCACAGTGACGTGACAAATTGCACGTTGACTTTATGAATATGAAGGATTCTATAAAAAATAACTTAAATATTCATGTTGAATGCAACCTGCAACGCACTGCCTGCATTTGTAGTGTAAAAACTCCTAAACGAAGCGTTCTTAGGTCCTTAATACCTTAAATTTGGAGACCAAAGACCTAAAAAAACGTTCCTCATCATATAATTTACATAAGGAGATCTTTCTGGACAATGTATTACATGTTTGTCATTTCTGCTCTTTTCGATACTACAATACTTATAATTAATGTACTAATAATTTCGATAACACAGCATACTTATAAAACAGTGGCGAGGAGTACTAAATGCCCTATGGCAATGTGTTGATTAGCGACTCTAACGTTCTTTGTGGTGACAGAGAAACACTACGCCAACTTCACTCGCCTTGAGGATTAAACCTCTCTAAAGAGTGAAAAAGAGCAGGCTGAATCCCTTGAGCTATGGTGGAAGCAGTCTGTCTAAAGGAGAGACAACCCTGAACAAAAAAAGAGAGACAAACCTGATCCTCCGGGTTAGGGGTTTGTCCGTCGGTTAATGGGAAACCTAGATGTACTTGCAACACCCGAAGAAAATGGGTGCCGAATCGGCGCAGCCTTTTTTATGTTCTTGGTATTTAAAAAACTGTTTTCTGTGTATTCGTGTTTCTAATTGCTGTAGTTACTGTGTATCCTATTGCAGTATTCGTGAAGACTTTGTCAAAATATTTAATTTGTAGTAGTGCTATACAGAGTATTTTACCTTTTGCCATTAAGCAGTATACATACTGTTTTTAGGAACCCATTTTGTGTTTTTTGTTCTGCGACATCTTTGCTGTTGTAGGCCACTGGTTATTGAACATACGTGAACGAAAGGAACTTCGTAATCACCAGCAGCAAATTATCTTCATTGCACGAAATAATCAAAGACAGGGCCGGTTCCGCAACATACGAAGGTGTGCTGTATCTCGAGGTTGAGAAGGCGCCATAAATCGAGTTTATGATAACTTTTATAAATCTTTTGCGAGTGATCCCAACTACGAGACTAACACTTAACACGATCACGACTTTAAGTCAACTGTGAAGTCAGATTTTACCTATGAAATCATTATAATCGAAAATGTCTATAAATAACATTGGATAACCATAAAAATTATTTTGTAAGACTCCTTCGACAAGGACATTGAATGAACACTGAGTGAAAAACTATTTTCTGCGACAATAACTAACGAAATAAACATGACATATTCAGATGTCCAGGAGTCCAGAAATCCTTCAGACGTCTCAGATCTAAAGTCGAAATGCGCCTGTAGTTTCCGCAGGTGTCGGCACTAGTTGCCAACTTAGTCTGTACGTTGGCGTGCTGTGTCAGCAGCAGGCGGATTAAGGTCACGGGACGTGATGCGCGGCGTGCGGACGCCAGTGTTTTGTTCGTGGAACTCCGCTCAAAGCGCTCGGCCCAACACATCCGGATTAAGGTGTTGGCTGACTACGCAAACGCCCGGGGCACGCTACTTCAGCATCAAGTCGAGTAAACAGAATATCCGATCTTACGAAGTCCATGCGTTTCACGTCACCTTCATAACAACGCTAATAACATGGCGAGAAGAGAAAGTTGCTGTTAGAAGTCCGACTATTGGGTGTAAGGAAGTCATAAAACGCTACGTTATACGACAATATTATAGGTTCATATGGAGGAAGATTTCTTCTAAAATCATAAATTTTAATTAAGATGGAACTTGTCCGAAAGTTCTTGCACATATTTGCAGTACATAAAATGTTAAAAATCCTACTTCTAAGTATATTGTCTATGTCTCCGTCAATGCAAGGTGCCTTCTGTAAATATATACCATAGAATTTTATTTATATTACTGAATTTTATACCATTGAATATTATACCACTGAATTTATCTACTTCATCATACATAGAATGTTCGAGAATGATGTGCAGACTATTACCAAGTACTAGGTAGACAATACAGGACACTTTGAATCTTACTCATACTATAAAAGGGAGACGACTGCTCACTAATGAACCTGGTGACGTGACCTGGAAAAATCCAAATTTCACCTTTTAATTTCTGTGGTTTCCTCATCTTCTCGTTCTCTTTCTTCTTCTTCTTCTTCTTCTTCTTCTTCTTCTTCTTCTACTACTTCTTCTTCTTCTTCTTCTTCTTCTTCTTGGAAAATGGTAAATATTTACTTAATAAAGCACTTACAATACAAAGTCTGAAAGGACTTATAGACTTCGTGAATTACAACTCTGCATCACGAGGAAATCGAAAAAAAATAGTTTTCTAAATTTCATAATTTATGCAATCAAATACAGCACACACCTTCCCAGCCATATAAAAAGTTATTAGCGACCAATAGAAAATATTTTAATCACTCTGCAAAAAGTAAGTAAACGTAATCGCTAGTAAACTAAAATCTATTTTAAACCTACACACTTCGAACTTGATATCAAAATGGTTATGACAGGTCGGGCTATAGGGGCGCTAGTTCCAAATGTCTCCCGTTATATCACAGAGTATCATGTATTGTCTCTATCAACGAGCTAGAGCATACTAGAATATATTCTAGCTCTTTGGTCTATAGTATTTGCTATTACACACCCTACATGGGACTTCACTACCAAGTCACATAAATTCACAACTCTTTGTATGATAGAAGTTCCAGTAAGCATTGCATAATATTGTCGTAATTACCTACTATATTATTTAGAGTATAAATTCACTTGGACTGAGTTGATTATGGTGTGCACATCGTATGAGTGATATCTTGAGGGCATTTGATATGAATTCTAGGTAAGTGATGATTGTTCACTCTTAGATTTAATAATGTTTATTTATTGATGAAGTGAGTAATATTGAAGTTATTGGAAGTGTTGGAAATATTGGATACTGGATTACTAATGATGAATTAATTGCACCGAAGATTTTTTAAATTTATGTAGTAAAAATGAACAGTAAAACTTTATATGACGTACGGGGGGAGAAATACGTGACGTATGAGGAAGATAAATGTGACGTATGGAGGAGATATTTATATTCTTCGACGCAGGGTACAGTTTGTTATAATTGTAAGCGAACCCAAGAAAAAAGTAATAACTGATCAAATTAATCAATCTATATTCTGTTAAAATTATAGTCACAATGTGAATAATTTGAGTTTTTGATAATTTGTTGAAATAATGTGGTTTTGATAATCCGTGTCAATATAATGCAAACCAAATTTGCACAGTGGATGGTTCGGAATCATCAAGACGTGTCTCAACTATGGTTAAATCATACTGAAAAGTAGGGTGCGAATTAACGGGAGGGATGTCAGAGTTCGTCACTCTGACATTTCCGTCACAAAGTGATGCTCTGAGATGAAAAAGAGTATATAAAAATATGTAGAAAAAAAGTACCTAGTAGAATATTTTCCCCATGGGAAAACTATTAATTCATATGTGCTTCATTCCTTATTTACACTTTTAATTGTAAAAATCAAAAAATTCAAAGCAAATTTAAAAACAAGCTTTTCTTGGGAAGTGCTGCGCAAATGAAGATAATCGTCATTTGAATCAACAGTTCCTCGATACGTCCCCTACTTGAGATTTAAAAATCTCTCGGGAGAAAATTGCCGATTCACAACCCGTCAAAAACTCATGATGATTGTAGATGAGAGCCTATATGAGTGAACACAAGAACAGAATATAAGACAAGATATGGAACTAACAAAGTGTCGTCGGCAGTTAACCCTTAAACCGGAGAGATTCGTGTAATCGAATATTCCCTTTTCGCCCTGTTAACGTCCACGGTTTAGTTATGGGCACTAATTTTACTTTTCGATGCCAAACTAGATGTTTTGATCCGGACGCAAAGCTCGCTCCGCACATCGTTGCAGTTTTGAGCGTCCACCTCGTTAAGTGTTTACCTAATAAGGCGGCCCGCGCCAGCAGAGCCGCGTGCAGTGCTGCGGCCTCGGGGCTCGACCTACACCCGCCCCCGCCCGCCTTCGCCTCGCCCTCGCCTTTTCCCGCCTCGCCTGGTCCCCGCCCCGTCCGCTCGCGCACTGCACCCGGCTACGTCCCGGCGGCCGCTTGCACTGGAAACAGCGCACAGTGGGCTTCGGATGGGCGGCGGAGAAGCGCGTTTAGAAAGATAGAAAATGCACGTGGCGGTGGCAAATTATCGTCAGCAAATAATAAAAGTAACACATCTCAAATTTCGCTTTAGATTGGTTACGTTGACCTTTTTTTAACAGGCAATTAGATTCAATTACTCATTACAATGTCAATCGTTTCGATCTTAAACACTTGGATATTTTTAAAGTAGGTGGGTCTTGGAATTTGGAGTTGTGTAGAGTTCAAACTAGATTAAAAAAGAAAATACTAAACGAAAATTGTATTTGACAATAGTTAAGTCATTTTATGCTCGCAATATTGTGCCCCTCCGTTAGCCGTATGTTTGGTAACTTTTAAACCCTGTAAGGTCCATACTCCTATATACTGCTATTTGTAAAGAAAATTTCAATGTTTAATATCGAGACCTCAGAGTAATGAGCCGTTGAATCTGTTTGTTAAATATAATGTCAATGATTGATTGGTTATTTAGTATTTTCGGGCGCGTCAAATTCTACAATCATTCATTCTAGAGGTGAAGTGCATGTTATATCCAGGAAATGGCGATGATTTGCCCCCTCTAGATCGTGAAATCCAGCATCCACCTGCAATTAGGCTTGCGAGGTTTTCCCTCGAGCTGTCTCCTCCAGAGGAGCACCGTCCCAGCCGGAACTAGCTTTAAGCTGCTGGCACATGGTAGAGTAGTGTATATAAATGTGAGAGTGTGAAAGGGCAGAGGGGAGAACAAGGATGAGAAAGGAAATGTAGTACACGGTCCATGGCTCGCTTGTTAAGGTACTGCAGTATGCCTGGTTTTTATCGATGAAGCCCCAGAAACATACCGATCAGAGCAAACGCCCGCTAGAATTCCCCTCCACACAGAAAGCGGCTGCATTCGATCTATGCCAATCAGAGAACCATGTGGATGTAAACAAATGCACGCGGGCGTGCAATCGCTGATTGGCTGCAAGTTCACGACACATATTCTTCCTCGCACTGTAAGCACATTAAGCCTACTTGTAAGAAAATAGTTCCTTGAAATTCAAGTAACTATGTTATAACTATGTTATATACTATACAACACGCGTAGTCCTACGTGGAAAGCAGATACTTAAGTTTATTTACTGTAAATTATATGAGTTTATTCGTGAAATGTAAGGAAAAGCGAAAATAAGCAGAAGGCATGTATCACGCAAGGAGGAGTTTTAAATGACGTACCACGCAACACGTGTGTATATCGCTTAGTGAGATATTAGTTTTGAGCTATGACGCTGTCAGAAATTAAATACCTATGAAGAAGAGGTCAAAAATCCACCCCTGTCGAAATCTAGGATCTCCCGGTTAGTGACATTTTACTAGTCAAAATGTCATAAGGTAGCTCATAAGATAGAAGGTAAATACAGTAATTTCCCTTTTCCTTAGACGCAAAATAAACATTTCCGCTCAGGTTAAAAATGTTCTCCTGCAAAGTGTTTTTAGATGTGTAGGTTTCATCCTCGACGGACGTGTGATTATTTATGCACTTTATGCATTTTTCTCCAACTTTAGGTTTATTCAACGGCGTACGTTTTATTAAAACTCCACACCAAAACGAGCATTAAACTAATTGTTTAAAGACTAATTTAAAATTAATTTCCCTCAAAATTTAAAACTTTTTCAATTGTAAAAAAATCAGACAATTCAATCAGAATTGAACCTGATCTATATTTTTTTTAAATTATTGATCTTTCGGTACACATTTTTAAAAATTGTGGCCGTGTTTTAAGAAAAACTTTTTTTAAATTGTGTTTATATTCAAAACTATATGCAAAAAACTTTTTAAAAAAAAGTTTTTTGGCCTTATTTAAATATATATTTTTGAAGCATTGATTTCATTAATAAGAATTATTTTTCTTCAATATTGTAGTTGTAGGAAGATGCAAGAAAATATTAAACATTTGCAATTTTCGGAAATTCATTCAACGAAAATCGTACTTACATTATTTTGATAAGTATACTTTGCTGTATCTGATAAAAAATAAAGAAGTGAGGCCTAGTGTAAAGTACTCCAAAAAATCGAAATATCCATTTCGAAGGGTACCCACGGATAAGATGGAAAAATACACTTAAAACAAATGACATATGAGTAGATACTCTATAACTCTAACATTAAAATAATATTTTGAAATATTTCAGCCTCCGTCCCAACCCTCTACAGCCAAAAACGTGTTTTTATTTTAACTTTATTTTTCAACGTACCCTTTTATCTGATTGAAAAAAAATATGAAAAAAAAAATAATTCATACTATCAGAAAAACATTTTGTTGACGTGTGACACAAAGTTGACGAAAAATTAAAATTAAAAAACGACTTGACTGTGGAGGGGAGTGGGCGGTAAGACGGAGGCTAAGAGACCTTTCAAAAATATTATTTGTTATGTTAGATAGGGCCGTAATATCAAATAGATCGATAGGAAAATATCAATTTTGGTAGAAATTCTACCTATGGTTTAGCCGCTAGCACGGACAGACGTTTTGTCGTAAACCAATTTTTCGGTATCAAGGACCCACAAAACGTGAATCCTGACTACCTAACATCTTAGAAGAAGTAATTTAGGATCAAGAATCAAGAACATTATAGGATCAAGAATAATCCACTTTTTCAGTAGGAGGTTTTCGGTCGAAAATTCGAAGTGTTTTGCTGCAGCATGAAATACTTTTTCTACACTGCATTAGTAGTTTGCGAGAAAGTAAAAAACAAAAACAAAATATCTGAAAATGTATTTATTAATAACAAATTCCAGACCGCCAGCCCAAACAGGAGAATATTGCCTGTAATGAAAACAATGAAATGTAATCTCTGTACTTTTGCATGATTTTGCATAATATATATTAACGTATTACTTTGTCGAAAGATCGGAGACCCGCAATAACCTCTTGTATTCCTTGTTCAAACAGAATTACGTGCGAAACTCCACACGCGGCTTTCAGCCTATTCTAGCCCACAGTGCAGTGCAGCGGCGGCGGCGGCGAGGTCGCGTGTTACGTAACTGGGGAAAGCGAGGACGTGCGGCGCGCCGCCCGCCGTCCCGGAGGCCGGCACTCCCCTCCTTCCCCCTCTCCCCACTCCACCACACCCCCGCCACTTGCCGTTCTCACCCAATATAGCCGGGCCCTCGCCCGCTTTCGGAACGCGACAGGTACAGACGGCCGCCCTAGACCCCGAATCGAACCGGTAAGCGAGGCCACGAACTCCCTACTAGTACTACGGGTTAAGGCTTCGTCTTACACAGCAGAGGTTAAGACTCGTACGCTCCCAGGCCCTCCGCAAATAAACCCCTTCTCGAACTTTACTACGTTTTCGCTTGGAAATGGGATTATGTGAATAAATTTATTTTAAAAAATAAATACGGCAAGTCAGATGTTATTAGAACCTCGCATGAATCAGCTTCTAATCTTTATTTCAAACAAATGGATAAAATGCAGCATAATAAAATGTTGACATTGTATTCTAACCCTTAAAAAATAAAAGGTAATGACATTGATTCTTCAGACTTCTACATTTTATGAACTCTTTAATTTCTGAGTCTCCACGGAATTGCGGCTTTATAGACTCGTTAGTTACGCATCACGTCTTGTTATCTGTGCTTGGCTTAACACAAATTGAGTGTTTAATACCTACAAGTTAGCTTTTTCCTTGCAACGAGTCAGTGCGTTATAATACCTAACGTCTATGTTTGCTCTAATCGTTTAGCACACAATAACTCGGCCTTTCCAAGAAATGTTGTGCTAACTTAAGCTGAACTTTATATTTGAGCATTTACAACTGAGAATTTTCACTGAGGTACACAGAGCAGGTAACACTACGTCTTGTGTACCTGAATCAAGTACCTCATATTTAATGAGGCGAAGTTCCTCTTTTCAAGACATTTGTAAAATAATTAGACTGATGAAATGTGAGATGTAACAGAATTCCTTCCCAAAAGATACACGTTTGTAAGCAAAGGGTATATTTACTATTTTATTCATTATTTTACTCTCACTAGTATATATAACTTGCTTAATGTAAGGTATATATGTACGTAAACAGCCTACTCGCAATATCCAGATCTCTTTACTTGACGTTTGTATAATATGAAAATGTGTCAGCAACATTGATAAGTCACTTAGGAAACAATTGTAACCACAGCTAATGTTCCGAAAGATTTTCAGTAATATTTGGCCTCTAATCACAAATATTCGTTTTCTATTAATGTTAACACACATGGTTACACTTGTTCACAAGATTTCAATGAAAAGAATTGCATATCCTGGGACTTAACAACTCCATTCAAATAACGCGGCAATCTACATAATTATTAAATTCAGCCCTGATACTACCACCGTTTCCGCTGAGGCTCATGTATGCGGTTGCCCTAGACCTAAAATAAACGATGTCGCGAGGGAGTGATGTCCTCATTGTCTGTGAATAGTGCGTCATAGTAGAAGGCCGGGCCATACCAGAAAAGTAATGTGCTGCTGCAAACCAATTTTGTCCTACTAATGGGCAGTTAGAGCAGCGCATGACGCCAAGTCTTGTCATGACCCATTTTATTACTATTCGAATCGTTACGACACTATCGCGAATGTTGTTTTTATCGCAGCAACATTTGTGTCGCGAAGTAGACCAAGACTATTTGTTGGATGTGCGGAAAAACTCGTCGAAAATGCGAGAAGCAGAAATAGGTATTGGTAGATATCTTTTATGAATAAATGTTTGCAATGACAACAGCTTTATTGTTTCGCAATAGTTTATTTTTGCAGAAGTATATTCAAGCTTATTACGTCACACGTGACAAACGATGATGTCACAAATAATTATTTGAAGAATATATCGCATGAGTAAAATTCGGCAGTGCTATAAAACTGTCGTGTTCTATCCATTTCCAATTTAATTGTGTTACGTGAATGCCAAGCGCAAAGCAGTCGCGTCTAACCTATAAAAAAGGTCGATATCAGACTGCTTCATCACCTGATTAAACGAGAAATATAGGTTGATGAAATCAGGTCATGCAAAGGGCAAGTACGGGAGAATAAATTCAATTGTGAATTTCAAAAATAAAAATATGAGG